TTCAAGGCAGTCTTGTGTGAACCTTGACGTTAACACAAACCTGTGTCCTTGTGTAAGCATCTCCTCTTGTATGGCCAAAATTGATGTTGTTGCCATTATCACCCTGTTTGAACAGGCTTCCAACCTCCCTTTTGACCTATCTTTATCCCACGAAACAGATGGACGATGTTCTGGAGGACGGTGATGGCCTTTTGGTACTCCTCCATCTTGAGCCTGCTCAGGGCTGTAATTGGATGGCGAGATGACATCAGATCAAACCAACGATCAACCTGCAACCACGCTGTCGTCAGGTAGGACAGAGGGCGGTTTTCTTGCTGCACCATGTATTTCAGCCCAGCACTTGTAGCCTTACTGAACACATTTAGAGCAAGACCAACCTTCATCTTATCAAAGTGACTTGGCTCGATGGCTGCAGCTGAAAGATGGGGAGCTATTTTTAAGGCCATCCCTTCCTGAAAGGTCAATAAGTCCTTAATGGGGACCACAGAAACCTCGTTAGAGGGGAGGTTCTCTCTATTAACAACATCCTCAGGAATTATGAAGACCTGCCCACGGACAAGGGCACTTTAAAAAAAAAAATCCAGATGTGGGACATCGGGCATGAAATAAAGCTGCCTGTATGGTTTTGCAGGATGTGGCACCGATGTTTTATTTTGGTCCACCCCAAAGGATTTCCACATGGCTCGGTTAGGGCTACCCATGTCGGTGGTGACATCAAGCACATGTAGCCCTATGGATGCTGCCCTCTGTATTATATCAATAATGATTGGCCTGTACTCTGCTCCATTGGTAGAATTGCCAGTGTAATGGTTTGCCACTACTTGCTTCCACCGTGTTGTGTTTCCAGCCAACATAAACACACAAGCATGTGTTGCCACCCCTGTGTGACCTGGTAAAGTCACATCACCGTACAGTTTGCCTGTAATCATGTCTAACTCCACACTTGGTGTGATTGCCATTTCATCCAAGGTCAACACACACTCCCTTTCAAGGTCTGTCAATCTATCTGCCTTCAATTTTAGGAAATCAAAGACCTCTGTCAACACACCAGGCTCAAACTTAACACATTGCATCCTTCGTTGCAGTGTCCTTATTCCTATCAAGCACAAGTACGGGCACGAGCAAAAAATAGGACTCAAGAACACAACCAATAAGGTCTTTAGTCAAGCGTTTAATCCAAAAGGTAAAAATAAAACAGGCAATGATCAAAAAATGTACTGACTTGAAGTAACGAAAAACAACCAACTAAGTTGGCGGAAAACTACTAGAGAAGCAACAAAAAAACAACCAACTAGGTTGGTACAAATGCTAAGCAGCTAGAACAATAGCTTACGTCAGAAGAGAAACATTGAGCACTTTCTGCTATACAGACAAGACGAACTGGCACTGACCAAGGAAACAGCACAGACTAAATACACAGGTGAGGAGTGATCATTAGGGACAGCTGAGGATCATTGAGACCAGGCAGGTGATTAACAGGGAGCAAAAATACACAGGTGAGGGAGTGAGACGATCAGCCAGGGCCAGGATGTGACAATTCCTGGAAGGGGAATCTGCAATTCCTGCAGAGTTTTGTAACCCGTTGGTCCAAAAGCAAAAAAAAAAAGCAAAGCAAATTTGTAAAGCCTTCATAATTGTCTCATTGCTCCATTTCATCCCCTTTGTGGTGAGTCTGCCTAATGCCTTAAGTTGATCTTTTGAAAACGTTTTCTTATATTTCTTGTCCCTAATTTTCATTGTTTTCTTGAGAGCTGCATTTTCCTTCCTGATTTTTCTTAGTGCAGCCTTTGCTTTTTTGGTGATTCCTTCTTGGCTCTTTAATTTTCTCTTTAATTTTTTTAATAGATCTGTTTGACTGGCTGCTGGTTCCCTCGTATGCTGACTGGCTGCTGGTTTCCTTGTATGCTGACTGGCTGCTGGTTCCCTGGTATGCTGACTGGCTGCTGGTTCCCTGGTATGCTGACTGGCTGCTGGTTCCCTTGTATGCTGACTGGCTGATGGTTCCCTCGTATGCTGACTGGCTGCTGGTTCCCTCGTATGCTGACTGGCTGCTGGTTCCCTCGTATGCTGACTGGCTGCTGGTTCCCTCGTATGCTGACTGGCTGCTGGCTGAGTGGGTGGTGTCCGCCCTCCCTGTCTCTCCTCACTAGCCATGTCCTCTCTTTCTTCACCCTCACTTTCCTTTCTCTCAGTCTCCTCATCCCTTCTTCCCTCAATCTTTGAGACTAATGTAAGTAGAAGACATGGCACTGTACATTTTCGAACATTTAAAATATTATACCACTTAAAAATAAGAAATATTACTTTTGTTACTAAGAGTTCATACTTATTATACCTGTGTCACCTTTCACACTATCGCTGTGATCATGAGCTATGGGCTTTGTAGATACAGGTCCCGGGGTGAATCGTGGTCAGTGGTGACTGGTCATTAGGGGCAGGTGGGGAACAGCCCCACCTAGTGTCAGCAGAAAGTATTAAAAATAATGATTACAAAAAAATGCAAAAAATATATTTTAAGATCATGTTTAATCATCTGATTCGTCTTTACATTGCTGTTTTAGTCTGTGTTCTTCTAATTAGTGTCTACAGTGTGTGCCTATTGAGCTGTTTAGAGCCATGTGGGACAAAACCCGATCATGCCCCTCCCTCTCTCTGTCTAAGTGAACGGTGACTGTAAAAACTACACTGCGCATGCTCAGAATATTTTCCTATTTAATGTGTGTGGCAAAAAAATAATGACCATAGGGGCATAGTGCTGCCATCCCCACCATACGTCATCTCACATCATTCAGAGCTGATTGGCTGTAAGTATACACACCTTATACGTATACGTGTGCCGCGAAATGTGTGGTGTGTGAAGAGGAGACGAGAGAGCTGCAGTGAGTGACGCATCCTAAAACCCGCAAGTAAACTGCGCATGGCTTCCCTCGACAAAAAAGCAATGATATTTCTCCATGGGATTTTAGAAAATAGCTCCAAATAAGGTCTGTGGGAAACAAACCTGTTAGATAAATGCACGTTTTGTTCAGCCGGATAATATCCACATGTCTACCCTACTTTTATAATTTTCTAATCATAAATCTATTGATTAGATTAGATTTATGATAGACTTTTGAAACTACAAGAACATAAGGAGGACTTTTACAAAAAAGTAATAGAGATTTTTGTCCAGAGGGATAGGCAAATGGACTTCATCTTCAAGTCAAGGTAAGACTGCAATTGTATTGAAAATGGGATCTTACTAAGAGAGAACAATTCAATATTTAAATGATAAAATTACATTTTTTGGGTATCCCTTTGTTGAACTGTCTGTTTAAAATTAATTGAAGCATCAGACAAAAAAAGATTTTGAAAATAATATTATATTTTGATTTAGGTCAAAATATAATATTTGTAAACCTGAAGAGTCAGTGCCAGTGCCTCACCAGCCATGAACCTCACTGCAGAGGCTTATAGACATCTACGTTTTTTGTGCCCCACCACTTTTGTACATATAAAAACGCCACTGATCGTGGTGCAGGGGCCCTTCTCTTTTTGACCACAGGGCGATGCACGAAGATGGTGGGTATAGCCTCTGCTCTCAGCCTAGTCTTGCCCTTTTTTGTCTTGACAAACTGGTCTGCATCAAAATGTGCCTGCGGAGTGACTTGAGGTTACTTCACACACAGCACAACTCAGTTTTGTCTGCCCACATACATATTCCATAGTGGTTGAATACACAGTATTAGGAAACACTTTATACTTACTGGACATGTTATACTCATTACATACTGTATATAAAATATGACCAAGAATGTGAGACGACTTTATAGAAATTCATATCACATCTGTTACTGATGCCATTTGTCATACTTTGTTAAACTCACAAATAATAAAGTTCCATAACTTCAGTTGGGAACAAATACCACACCTTATCTCCCCAAGGCAATTTCCCATCCAATAGGTGTGCTATATGTGTGCTATATAGGTGTGTATAACCCTTTCTCCTGTCTGTTTATCCCTCTTTCAGCACAAGAACCAGAGGGGGATTCAATGGAGCCTGAATACCTGCACTGAGACCCTCACCCTGCACCCTGAGTCTCAACTCTGTGTGTTGTTCACACTAATCCTAATATTATCACTTAACATTAGCAAATTCTATTTTATTTTTAAAAACATATTGATGTAAATACATACACATATCGATTTGTTGTATAAATATTGCAAATCAAAACCTTTATTCACTAATAATGACCAAAAATCGTAGTTCTATCTTCTGTTATCAATGCATTTACATTGCCCGCCATGAACTTCCGGGGAACAATCCTCGTCTACATGAACCACGTGACGATAACCGTTTTTGGACTTCCGTTGTCATAACTCTTCTATCTATATGGCGCTGCCTTCACGGAGTGCGTCGATGCACAAGCTGTCATCCAAAGAACAGGAGGGTTTAGCTAGCGCCTCACTGAAATCTTTAAAGGTCGTTTTCTCAAAATGAGTTTTTTCTCCTACTCTGAGTTCGAAATTTCAACTTCAGTAGCACGTAGATACACCAAACCTTCCAGTTATATTCCTATCAATATTATGAAGGCTTTTACTGAAGGGTTTGTTCATATATCATTCATAGCCTGAATTATACAACATTGTATACCTAGAAACATGGCGAAAATTGATATTTTAGGGCTGTTGACAGTATTTTCTGATTTATGGAGTGATAAAAAGAGATATCCAATATCCCTTCTGTAAAAGCTTTAGATACTAATATGACTACAAAATGAAACAAGAATTTTGAACCTGGCTTTATCCAAAGTTCAGATTTCGATTCCTGAAATGTGTTAAAATATGTGCATATTTAATGAGATAATGGGACATTTGCATATTTAAACATGCTATTTCAGAAAACGTGTAATACAAAAAACAATTGCATTTTTGTAAGTAATTAACTGGAGAAATCTCTAGCTGATACCTTTAAGTTAAAAAAAACTACCCTATTCACCTGGGGTGTCTCGCCTTAAATCTGTATTGTGTTGGGCACCTTCACCCGGAAGGGGGGATTCCAACACTTATACTTGTTCTGAGCCAGGCCCCTATTGTGTACTAATCCTGAACACGCCCATGTTAGTCACGTTAGTCATAGGCTGTGTAATAACAACTGTGCGCGCTTTGGGACGCAGGATGAAGCCACTTGGCTCATGTGATCGCTGATGGACCGGGGAAAAAGACCTCACGCCTGGGGTGGGCCTGCTCTTCGATGCGCTGCACTGCGAGGATTGGAGATCCGGAGTTTGACAGGCTGTTTTTAATTCCGCCCATCAACACGACACGCCTCCTCTGGTCCCAGGAGCATGTCTGAAAACTACAAATTGGGGAGTGAAGAGTTGGACAAAGTTGTGCGCATCAGATTATTTCTAATCTAAAAACGAGCAGAGCACACAAGGGGAGTAATTATAGATGATTTAAATGGCGGACGAAATACTTCTGGAAAGCGATGGAAAACACGGCACGGTGAGTGTTCAAATGTGACTTTTATTATGGAGGGTTGATTGACATGTAGTCAAATATCATATTTTTCTGTTGCATTATACAGTATTTGGATTATTTTGTGAGATTTTCCTGATTTGGATTTGACGTTTTTAACCATCAGCTCTTCATACTGTCAACACAGACATGTTTATGTGGCCTATAAATGGAAATACTGTATGTTTATACAAATATCCAGATTTGTATAAGGATCATCAGCTGCTACAATTTCGATTTCACTATAAAATGATCTAAAACAGGCTTTAATTTCTTTAAAATCAATCATAAATCAAACTAAGAAAATCCCAGCAAAGACTAGTCAAATATTTGCTTTGACTAAACTGCAACATGTGAAGAGCTGCACATCCGACAGATAATCAACCTAAATTAAGTGCAGACTGGGCAGCATGGTCTCCAGTAAACTATTTTCACGTGTAGTCGTCTGACTCCATCCTTCAGTCTATTAAGCGGCTAAATTAGGTTTCTTGAAGGCATCTATGCTGTTATTGTTCAGTCACAGAGCAGAGAGCCTCCTCAGTCTGCTCCTTGTACTAACATCTTACACATTAGCAGATTCCTTTTGGGCTCGCTGATATAAAAGAATAGTGGGGTTGAATAAACCCTGATTTTATTTAGTATTATATAAACTTAACAGAGTGGTTGGAGGGTGGACTTACTGTGTGGTGTAATTTTCTCCAACCTGAGGTATAGATACTCAAAAGAACGTTATAATCCTGTTGACCTTCTAAGAGGTCAGCTAAGCTTTGTTTGCTGGAATTTTGGATGGCGGCCAAGAGAGTAGCTGCAACCCGCTCCTAATGAAAATACAGTAGACCGCCCCCTCCCTCTTTAAAGACGGAGTAGGGGCTCATGTGACTTTGGCGTTATCCACACAAGTACTCTACCAGGCTGATGTTATTAATATGCAACACAACGCTTAAGTTGTCCTCTTTTCTCAGACTGCTACACAAGTTTAGCTACCTGAGAAATGTTGTAGCTTCATAAAACCTATTTTTCCTACAAACCAGTTCTAATTCAAAGTGTCTCTCCCATAGGTAAACGTTTTGAATGTGTCCTGTATCCGTGTGTTTGTTTTGATTGATTGATTGATTGAAAAGTGTATTAACAGCTTGTATATTGGGTACAGTACAGTACAGCTCAAAACATACAATTGTTAAGGGGATGCAGACCAGAGAAAGACTTTCGTCTTGTTTACATCAGGGTCCCCCATTTCCAATTCATCATATCATTTAAGACATATAAGACATATTTGACATACAGATGGCTTATTTACAATTTACATACAGGTGGTTTTTTACATACAGATTGCTTATTTACAATTTTCATTTTAGATTTCGTTCTAATACATCCTAACCGGACATTTAAGACATACCAAGTCTACAGATATACAGTTAGTAACAGAGTCTAAAATGCGAGTATATACATAGATGGGGGGGGGGGGGGGGGGGAAGCTGTCCATTGAACGACAGGTAGGTTTACTTCTTCTGAATCCACCAGGTTCCACTAGGAGCCGTTTCAGCTTTGCCCCACCCAAAGTCCTAAGATCACACATGCAACATACAATAATAATAATGCCGGAGAATAGACCCAACGTGCATGACATATGTTTAAGTACACAGCAGAGACTATTACAATACTTTATCACTTTAATTTTGCTGTATTATTAATTTAATTTGTATTCTATTTTATCTTAATTTTCACCCTGTGTGAATCCTGTTTTTCATTCTGACACTGTTGCTGCTATTAACGCCTGAATTTGCCCAAGGGGATAAATAAAGTTCCATCTTATCTAAGAAAATGCACAAGCTACAGTATCGTTAATGATCTAAAATACACCAAAATTAACAACAACAGTTATTATTTATACTAAACCAGACTAAAGACTTTTCTTTTTGCCGCTGCTTTTAATTGAACTATTCACATCTTAAACTGCACTGTAACTTTTATCCATGTATTTTTTCTTTTAATGTTTATTTTATTATCTTTTCTTTTTTAATTAATGACTGATTTTAAATGCCATTTTCTTAATGTCTTTCGTTTTTTGTAAAGTACTTTGAATTGCCTTGTGTAGGTGCTATATAAATAAACTTGCCTTGCCTTGCCTAAACACACATACTCTATGTCATACTACATAGACATTTACAAATATGGACTGTAAAGCTTTTTATTCTGACATGAAGGCTACATTGAATATGGCTAATACTCTCTTTGTCCATTATGGGAAAATCAAAAGTTGGAGTCACGTTTTAACAAAAACACCCATCAAAGACAAACATTTTCGCTAATACCTAAGTCGTGTTAATACTTCACTACTGAGATAGTTTACTATGTAACTTTTGTTGGCATCTGACTTGTTTTATCTTTCCATCCTCAGCATCTCACAAAGTCTCTGCTGGCGGTGGCTTTCCTGGCCTCGTTCGGCAGCTCCATGCTCTATGGCTTCAACTTGGCGGTCGTCAACTCACCAGCACAGGTTAGCCATCACTTCCATTGTCAGTCATCATCCACCTGAGTATTCAAATAGTTTTTACCCCAAATGTTTCCAGACTGAATCTTGGAGACTCAATCTTTATCTATGTTACGGATTACTTTTAGATGTTAATGGAGACAGCAAAGATAAGATTGCATTTTATTGTCATGTGAAGTCATGTGGGTGTGTATCAAATGGAGAGGCGGCTGAGAGCCTCACTGTGTCATTGATGTCCTGCCGTTTATATCCACCTTCTGCACTTCGAATTGTGATTTTGCCGTGGTGTAGTGACTAGGCTGGGAACCATTCCTGTCCCCCCCTCATCACATTGAAGCATGTGAGCTTCAGTGCCACATTTCTTACTACCAGTCAGGGCTATTTTCCTATGAAGGAGATGCATGGAACTCCAGCATATCAGCACATGACGAACACCATTTCCATCAATATGGCGAGGCCTTTAACAAGCAGTTGAATATTGAAAAAAAAAACAGGTTAAGAGTCACATTCATTTAGAGCCCTGTTTGTATCCACCTTCTGATTAAGTCAAATGTTTTCTTTCTTTTTCTATTCTTTTTGGTCTCCACCAGTCTCTACGGGATGACATCTGTCTCATTAGCCACTAAATGCTATGAACGTTTAGACTACAGTGGGTTTTTAGAGCTTTTTGAACTTCAAATACCGGCAAAGCTTTGAGTGTAAACCAAATCAGTTGTTAACAGCTGAACAAGGAGTTGAAACGTTCCATTAGGGTGAGGGGAACCATACATTTGGGTGATAATCCTGTGTAGATCCGACCCCTTGCTTACGGCTCTCCATTGTTCCAACCTCTCATTTTTTAACATGAATATTTTACCAAACTTGAATGAAGCAGCATTTACTTTGTTAGATTGGAGATAAGTGCTCATAGTCACACATTTCCCAAATTGCTACCGATGTGAGGTTAAACATTTGACCATGCTCCATGTGACTTCAGTGTTGTAGGATTCACCGCTGTGTGTCATCTGACATTAGTTACTCCAGTGTGCTCCAAATATAACTTGGTGGGGCAGGGAGATCAGTTGACATTGAGCTGAGAGGAAATGGTTGAAAGAGGTTTTTCCAGGATACCTAAAGAACTAACTACCTGGGTTTGTATGTCTTAATAGTATGACATTATCAGAAAAGTAGTTTCTGACTTCCTCCACTCTGTATTTTGAGCAGACTTGCTGCAGCATAGAGGTCTTATTTTATCAAATGAAATGTGTTTGCCTTTAAATAAAAACATTTTGGCATGGAATCTGTGTGAGCTAAGCATCAAGAAAGTCACAGCATAATAACTTTCTTAGTTTCTGTTTTGGCTTGACCACAAACTTTAATACATTTCACTTGAGGCTCAGCTTGAAGCAAAGGAGTTTCTGACGTTCAGGAATAGTCAGATGATTAAATGTGAATTTTCTTTTCCTGGAATTATGATCACTTACTGTGTTCTGACTCTGAATTACTTACAAAAAGGTATCTACAGTGTTAACTAAAGGGTTCTTACATTGCAGGGTTGCACCCATTTCCCACCATTTTCTTCTCCCTTTCCCACGCCTTAAGGGTATTTTGCTGACTTGCCATGTGATCATGTGCCCTTCAGCTATTGTGATATTTTTACTTTGAGTCATGTAACATGAGATTCAAACTAATTTCCCTTTGAATGTACTGGAAAATGACATGTTAACACATGCAACTAGTGAACAGGGCAGAACCGAAAACAAAGGGGCTCCTGCTGTGAGATTTCAAGTGACAGAATCAAAATCAGATTGTATTTACAATATATAGCTGAGTGTCACAAAACCCATTTAGTTGGCTTCAAATATCAGAAAATAATTATATAAAAAGACATAAGGAAATTACAAAAATACAATACAAATGACATGATAAAATGTGAAATAGAAATGAAATAGAGTAAAATTCAATTAAATAGAATAAGAGAAAAATACAATAAAATGTAGGACCCAGGAGGACGTTCTGGGGAAGACTGAAACCAGCTCAAACATGAGGCTTTATTCAAAAGGAAGGTCTTTAGCTCTTTAGCTGTATTCCTTACTAATCAAAACAGGAAGCTGGTTCCAAAGAATGGGAATTCGGTACGTTCAGTATCTACTTTTGCAGACCCGAGGAACCACCAACAAACCTGCACTCTGGGATCATAATGCCCTAGTGGTGCAATAGGGGATTTTTTAGATAGGATGGTGCCAGACCATTCAGTGCTTTATTAGCTAGACAAATCATTTTTTATCAAATTAAACCTGAGAATATGTACTTCGGGTTATACTAATGTAATATTATGAACCAAGGATTGCTGTGATGCTCAAATATCATTTGGCCTGTCAATACGGCAGGATATGATAGAACTAGAAGGGCATTTAAAGAGCATAGACTGCCCCCAAGGCCATTTCCATAAGTGAAAAACAAAGTTTGTGTCCACCCGTAATTCCGATCTGTTTCAAAATGCGGTTTTTATTTTTTCTTGACCAATGCTACAACCTTCCACAAAGTTTCATAAAAAATAGGCCGGTTGTTTTTCCTCTTTACACTGCTGACAAACAGACAAAAATAACAATACCTAAAAGCCAAAACCTTATCCAGCTCATCATCTAACGAACGGGAGAAGTATTTGGCAATAAGGCCAACAAGGCTGAGTAAAGATTCATGTGTGATTATTACCAGCATCTGTCATCCACAACTGCCTCCATGTTGTATGAAGGCCTTTCCTTCCGAACAGCAGGTATGTTGATTACACACGTGAGATCTGTCCGTTACCTCAATTAATTCTTGCTCAATCAGCACCAGGCTGGTGCAACTGAAAACATTAGTTGTCTTCTAGCACTGTACACAGACTGCCACTTTATAAAGTTCCCTGCATGTGTTGGAGACATTCTTGGGACAAATTGGACGCACGTTGTCCAGAGTTTCATGACAAATTGACCAATCCCCTCCTTTCATTACTGAGCCCCCACAGCGTCATCCATTCCTTTAAATGATCACGCTTCACTATTTTAATAAACTAAATAATTTGTCTTTTAATCTGTTGAACAGTGTAAGTACTAAAACTACTCACACAAATTCAAATGAACTTTTTCCGTCTCCTGTTTTCTGATGTTTCTTTTCGCACAGAGTGACTGAATTGTGTCTCTTGAGATGAATTGGATTAAATGTAATGGGTTCTCCAGGACAGCCTGATCTCTGCGGAGTCTTCACTGTCAGATAAACCTGAATGGAATCTGACGGATCTTGTTGGCTCTCGCAGTAAATGTTTGTCAAACCGAAGAAACTACCGCTGTCGTTTTATCAAGCATGCAGTTCAATCTGATCTGATTTAAATCTGACTGTGGGGGCTTGATGAGCTTCTTTAGACTCAATATGGCTGCCCCTCACACTGTTTCAAAACATCTATTCATCCCATTGCACCTAACACTTTTGAAAAAGCAAGACCAATATTGACATTTGGAACCGTGGCAAATAGTTCCTCATGTGAGATGTCAAATGTTATGGCCACCATTTTTAGGCTCCATGTTCTTTTTAAGAGTATTCACATACAATCTCGCAAGGAAATGTTTGCCTTTTGTAATAGAACAATGTCATATAGTGGAAAAACACGATATAATATTTGGGACATATCTTGAAACTCCACACGGTAACGAATTGTTTTATGGTTTCCCCTGCTAGACAGTGTCAAATGAACGACATTCATTCTTTCTTCCGGTAGTACATCAAAAACTTCTACAATGAGACGCTGACAGAAAGTTACAACTGGATTCCCGATGAGAGGCACCTCACCATCCTGTACTCCGTCACCGTGTCCATCTTCGCTATCGGTGGGATGACGGGGGCCCTGCTGGTGGGCAAACTCGTAACCAAATTTGGAAGGTAAGTGTGTGTGGATTATTTTTGGGGTGTAACACATACTAAAGGCATGTATCTCTTTGTTATATACAATCAACAGTTTTAAACATCTTTTTCTGTGAGTGCATTAAGTAAAGGGGGATGACTGTGTGTCCGAACAGGAAAGGGACGCTGGTGAGAGCGACTGTGCTGGTGTTTATAGGAGGAGCTCTTATGGGCTTCAGCAGAAGCTGCCGGATGCCTGCGATGGTCATTTTGGGACGATTCATCACAGGAGTACACTCAGGTAGGTTGATTATTCAAATGAAAGCACAACATTGTTTACACTAATTACCTAACCTTTTGTGATGTTTATTCCAGAGCACCCTTGTAAATCCATCACTTGCTTTGTGTGTTAACTTAATGTGTCATAAAGTAGTTTACGTTTGAGATTTACTCATGCACTAGTGCCTCTGGCAGTGTTGAAGAAGGTCAGGTCCTTTACCTAAACAACAACTGTATCATAGACAGAGGTGGGAGAAATACTTCAGATCTTGTACTTGAGTAGTACAAGTATTTAAAAAAACATGTGTTAGTGTTTTTTTATTCAACTACTGAATATTAAGCTTGCCATACAAAATTGTACTTGGAAAAAAGTTTTAAAGTAAGGTTTTGGTTTAGTACGGTGAATGTACACATTACTAAATATGTAATACAACATACCAGACTTTTTAAGGGATAGTCCAGTTAAATCAAGAAAGTAATTTAATCCGTGCCCTGTATTTTCATGGACAAATACACTTTATCTTGTTGGAGACAGGCATCTAATGTCTGATAATTTCTTTAACCCTCCGGTATCACTGTGGACGTTTTTGTCCATATGGGTCATTTTTCACTTTTCATTTTGAAATAACTTTGGTTGTGTTGGTGCAAATGGCCTGATTTTTTGTAACAAGGCTATTTTCTCGATCTATTTTGGAATTTCAATTTTTGAAATCGGTCTTTAATTCACTGTGTAACAAATCGACTACGCAAATTAGTCATTCGAGACAAAAATGTCCACTGCAAAATGCTTTGATAAAAACATTATATTAAAAGGTTTTTTTCACAACTTTTTTGGGTTCAATCTTTAAAGCAACTTCCGCCCTTATAGAAAATAATAGAAAGGATTTTAACCCTTTAAATGCCATTTTGAATACATGAAACCGATGGTTTTTTTCATGATGAAAACAGAGAAAATTAGTTATTTTCCAAAAAATACATATCTGGGGACTGGCTCTTTTTTTTTTATAACAGTCTTGGATATGTCGAAGATTAGCAACAAAATGGATTTTTTTGCATAATTAGTTTTTGCACAAAATCAGATTGAACAAAAAAGTTACAAATTAGTCATTCGGGACAAAAATGTCCACTTCCAAAATCTGCTCTAAAATGACAACAGATTAATATTTTTTTTAACTTTTTGGGGTTAAATCTTTCAATCAACTTCAGTCCTGATCAAAAATACCAAATGTTAACTTATGTTCAGGATTTTAACCCTTTAACTGCCAGTTTGAAAACATGAATTTGCGTTTTCTATGAAAAACATGCACAAAAAGGCAGTTATTTTCCATATAATGAATGGAATGGGGGGTCGGCTTTTTTTTTTTTTAACACAGTCTTGGACATTTGCGTAGTCCAATCGAATGATACCGGAGGGTTAAATGTTCACTGATGGTAGAACATTTCATCATATGACTAAGCAAACCATTTTCTTTTATGCAGAAAATATATTTGAATGTTCCTAATACGTGTTTTTTTACCACAGGTATTTGCCTAAGTGTGGTGCCGATGTACCTCGGTGAGATTGCCCCCAAGAGCCTGCGAGGCTTCCTGGGCCTCGTTCCCAGCATCCACATCTGTCTGGGAGTCTTCATCGCTCAGTTCCTGGGACTCCATGAACTGCTGGGAAAGGTATACATCTTAGCCTTTAAACGCCACACAGGTGTTATGTCACTGTTTACTGCTGGAAACACTTCAAATGTCTGAAGTTTGTTTTCTTTCTATTTGTTACTATCTTCTCCACTCTCTGGATTAATGGTGTACCAGTGGGAACAGCATACTTTTTTATCTATCCAGCAATTGTTGTCAAAGTACTGAATTACTCAAGTACTGCTAGTCCTGTCTTCTATTCTCTATCCATCTTGTCTTGATATTGCATAAGAAATACACATCACATGCCTTATTTCCCTCAGATTGAAAGACCTGAGATTGAAACTCACTTTTTTAGTTAATATATGAACAAGCTGTTACTCTATAATTAGATGCCAATCATTTGTACGACATGTCCAGTAGAAAATATAATTGGGTGATAAACAAAATTCAGATTGCTGCATTAAGTAAGGTGACATGTTTTTTGTTTCCCCACACAGGAAGAGCACTGGCCTCTGCTCCTGTCCCTCATAGTGTTCCCCACCATGATCCAACTGATGCTGTTGCCATGGTTTCCAGAGAGTCCACGATACCTGTTGATAGAGAAGGGAAATATTCATGCCACCATACAAGGTTCGAAACTAGATTTTTTATTTTATTCTTCTAAAATAGTTTGTTTATATTTGATTGTATGGAGTAAAGACTGTGTCATGATTTAAAAAAAACTACATTTCTTGTTTGTCAAAAATGAAGTTCCCGTGAACCTGTTACTGTTTCCTCTTGAATTTGTTGTCAGTGATGTTTTTGTTCTTCTGGTAAAATCTCTCTTCTCTGTCCTGTAGCTCTGAAGTGGTACCGCCCTAAAGGAAACATCCAGGCGGAGGTGGATGAGATGCAGGAGGAGCAGCGCTCTCTGTCCTCTATCCACACCATCTCCGTTTGGGGCCTGCTTAGGGACCGTTGTGTTCGCTGGCAGGTCATCACCATCATGGTGCTGAACATCGGCATGCAGCTGTCTGGCATCGATGCGGTAAGCGTGAAAAGCGTTGTGTGCTCCGTCTGTATTTGTGTGTCCTCACAATTTGAATGTGCAAAGGCACTGAGCGTTATTATATGAGCGTGAGAGCTCATATTGCCACAGTTCCCAGCTGTGCTCCACCCATCTGCACCTCCTCCTGTCCATACATCACAGACCCATACATCACAGACCCACATGCAGCCACTGAGCGACTAAGCAGGGGGTAACAGGACCACGCCTCATTATCTCCTGGTCCTCTATGTTAGCGCTACCCCACATTAGAAGGTCTGCCCGTCTGCACACCAAGTCAGACACATCTTTGCACTCATTGCTCCATGTGGATGGAGGCTTGATGCATGCTGGCGCACATGCTAGTACCATTTCCCAGCAGGGGTACCCCCCCTCTGTGTCCAACTGTCCCAGGAACACTGGAGGATTGAAACATCCAGAATTCATGTGTCCAAACGCTGCATGAAATAAACCAGCGACAGACAATGCTAAGTGAATGAACATGTTCTTGTAGACTGAAGATCTTGGACATTTATAATTTTATTTATGATCAAATCTGGTTCTTTTACAAGACATACACTGACTTTGTGGAGTTGTTATGGAGATCTGCAGATCTGGAACAACTCGACCATGGACGGAATATTTCAACAACATCTAGACAATGAAACAATAAATACATATATTTTATTATTAAAAATGAATAAAAAAATGGGAGAAAAGGAAAAATGGCAACCACAATAAATGAATAGATCCCTTAAATAACTTTTACATATTACAAAACACCACCCAGCGGTTCATTCAGAGTTACGGGATGCTATTCAAGGTGCCAGCCGCTCAAGGACCTAACATTCCCACACATTTGCACACCATTGGCGATTGGGAGCAATTTGTGGTTAAGAATCTTGCCCATAGACACATAGACCATTAACTGCAGGGGCTGGTATTGAACCCCTAACCTTGTGATCGGTAGACGAGCGCAACACCTAACAGAAAGAGGCCCCACACTGTAAGACTCTGGATGTAAAGGTCAATCTTCTTTCTGCATATGACCACAGTAGTGACCTAAAGAACTAATTTCTACCCAATTTTAAAAAGCTCACTCTCAAACAGGACGAGGAGCTAAACGATTGAGGAAGACCTCACCTTAGAGGATTCAAATTAGCCGGTTGAGACAGGTGCAGAGTTCTCCTAAGGTGCCTCCCTCTGGCTGTGTAATTGTGGAAGAAGACCTTGAACAACCAGATGCACCAGAGGGACTACACCAGACAGCTGACCCAGGAACACCTTGGGTCTGGCCCTGGAAGAGCAGGAGGAAGTCTCAGAGGGAAACATGCCAGCGCTGCTCTGCTAATGTGGGCGATGAGTTTGGACAGATCGATGAAGAAGACTACTGGAAGAAAAGAAGATGATTGATTTAGCATAGATATAAACAATTCTTTGAGTCTATCGAGTGGCCAGTCTTACATGTTCAGTATTGCAGCGTATGTGATCTAATAGAGAACACACATGATTTTGGTTGTTACGTTCGATTTAAAATGAATATAGACAATTCTTGTGTTTAAAACAATGTAACTGGTCCAACTGCTCTAACTTGATTTCCTCCAGTTCATGTATGTTTTCTGATTTAATACAGTTATGTGTATGAGAACTTCAAAGCTGCAATGGTGATAAAAAAGCATATGTACAGTTACTAAATCAACAAGACAGCATTTAACCGCACCAATCAGGATCTTGTCCACACCTCATCAATGATGGATGTAGCATCAGCAAAGTGTGATTAATGAGAACACACAAATTAATTTCAGAGGGAGCAGTTGTCAGACGTCCATGCTGATGAAACGCTGTATCTCAAATGCATGAGTGATGGTCGGTGTGATGATAATGATCACGATGATGAATCACGTGGACACAGCAAATAAACATAGCGACTTTTTGGCTTTTCTTTAAAAAAAAGTTTCATAGCATCTGTCTGGGTGGGTATCAAGGGTTGGTCCTACCTATTTATTGTGTCATTGACTTCTTTTCACTTTCAATTTTCAGATTTGGTTCTATACAAATGACATATTTAGGGACGCAGGAATCCCTGATCTTAATATTCCGTACGTGACTGTGGGAACTGGTGCCATTGAGGTCATCTCTGGGATGCTGGGGGTGAGTAGACATTACCACACTTCAAACACCATAAAGATGACATATTATATAATACTATCTTGTTTGGTGTTTATATAGTGGATCCATTGTTGGGATTTGTCACTCCATTTTATACCTTTCTTTAGTAAATATCTAGCATAACAAGCCGTGCCACCTCACCCTGGCTCTGTGATCTTCTGATGAGTGTATTTATAGACTTGACAGTTAATCAAATAATCACCTAAAGGAAAATTGATTTATCCAAAATATTGACTTGTTCATAATGGTAACAGTCATTGATGGCCGGCTGAATACTGTTTATTAGCTTAAGCAGCTCAATTAAAATTACATTTTTGTAAAAACATTAAACAAATTGCACATTTTTTATTTGCTCTTGTAGTTTGTAGTTGAAGACGGTATTTTAATTTAATTTCATAGATTGAAAGTTAATTGCCAAATTGAAAAAAGTATTTGGGAGATTAACCAATCAGATTATAAGTGTTCATTTTAGTTCTAATCATTTGTTGTTAGTCATTTGATAATTTGTCCTACGAACATTTTTAATTTGTCACACAATTGCACCTGTGGGATTTCTTTTCTTCTTCTGTTCACTGTACAAAGGTCCATTTAGGGCATCGTTTTGCAAACTAGATTATTTTATAGACATCTTTTACAGCCGTAAAAGCGTAGTTGTAGTGAAATCATTAAAAACAAATAAATATCTGCTGGAATAGGTCTGTTGATACTGGTCAATATACTCACCCGGACAATTAAACTAATTGATAACAGAAAAAACTGCGAAAGCACAAATCATTGACTTTTATCTTCAGAACTCTACCTTTACTTACTTTTAACATTATTTAACATTAATGCAATGTAATGTGCCAGATTAGCTAAACGGCTAATCATAGATGCCTTGTGTTTTATGGAAACATAGGTAAATATTCAGCCAATCACAACCGTTTTCTCCTCTGTGTCTGTTTGCAGTGTTTCACTATCGAGCGTGTGGGCAGAAGGCCTCTCATCATTGGCGGCTTCCTCTTCATGGGTATCTGCTGTGCTGGGATCACATTGTCTGTCCTCTTCCAGGTCATCTGTCATCTGATCCTGTGCTAAGCAAAGAATATATTAACAGCACCTTGCAGATTGAAGCTTAGAGCATACAGTGCATTGTTTTAGATGGCGCTAAGGGCATAACAACATTTACATAATCATTTACTTAACCAAGATCTGGTTCTAATTTATGGTTGTTGTTGGCATACAGTAAGAACACCATATAAGGGGGTTGCCCATATAACTATTTAGAATAAAGTGTATTATATGCTTGAGGGTTCAGCAGTCTAAGATCCAAAATGACTAATCAAATGTAATTCTTCCAAAACCAAAGTCTGTTTAGTAATAATTTCCCTTTTTGTTTCCCTTTGTAGCTACAATGGAAGAATCATAATAAAAAAGTGCATTTTGTACTTAAAAGGCTAATCATGGAAGATATCCACTTGATTTGTCTAGTCTCGCTTACATTACATGACATTGGGATAAGAAAATAACCTAGAGAATAAAGAAAATTGAGAATAGCCCAAATGAGCAGGAGTGTGTCATGTGACACATTTGAAAAACGCTGATTAATTGTTTTAAATGATTTGTAAAATTTTAAAAAAGGTGAACAATTTGAATTATTAGATCATAAGTAACAAATGTCAGGAGCCCCACATGGTTCATATCATGGAACTCATTTGTTTTTAAGTTGTAAGAAAAATAGTCAAATGTTTAATTGTGAAAAACTATTACACTATAACTATACATTGTTTTACGTATGTTTACAACTTCTGACCTCTGACTCCTGACTTGTGTTTGACCAATCACAGGCGCAGGTGGCCTATATGCGCTACATCAGTGTCGGCTGTGTTGTTGGGATCATCGCTGGCTTCTGCATAGGTCCAGGTAAATACTTTAGTAACTCTCTCTACTTGGAACTCTTTAAAAAAAAATCCACTCCATACATACTTGCACTGCTGCCCTGTGTGTAAGATAACACTGCTCCCTGCTGGAAGCTCGCGCAACAGCAGCCCCCAAATATTATTTCTAAAGCAGCACCCCTCCCTACTCCTCATGTGACTGTGAAGAGATATTGTATTTCATTAGTCTTGTAAATTAGGAAATCATAACTGCCACACTACATCCATTCCCACAGCCATTTGTACACGGGATGAGTTGAGTGAAGTGAATTAAGAGGCAATAGTTTACAACTTTGGGAGCCCCGTTGAGTGGACCTGCGAGGATGATGAATTAGAACAAATCTGGTTTACATAGCGTCATTCGTCAAACCGACAAAAATCCATACCTCGGCATGCGGACGAGGATTTCTGTTGCTGCAATTAGACTTTTAATGGCTCATTGTTCATAAGCTAGCCGTGATGAATACGGTTTCCTTTCAGACGAAATCTCGCATGCACAATGACGCCCCCCATACATACCGCAGATGTTGACAAATTACGGCCTCGTTATTGGTTTGACGATATTAAACCTTCCTCCATGCAATTATCGTGAACAGTTAATGAGGACGTCGTTGGGAAAAGCTCATCATTAGAGCTTTTACTAATGCATATTTCTCCTTCATGGCTTTCACTTTTAACAATGAGGAATTATGCATTTTAAAGATAGGACAACATCTCTACATATTAAGTTAATGACCTGCACAAGTCCTGGCTAAGCTTTTCTGTTTCTTGTGGCGCTGAGTTGGACTTTCTCCAAGTTGAAAAAATCCTTCTCTCTTTCAATCTATGACCACAGAGTAATAATGAACACATTATGAACTACACACAGAAAAAGGGAGTGTAATAAAATAGCATGTGAATTGAATTGGTTTCATCATTGTTCTGTTTATTTTGAATGACTGCCAAAAAGTTCTGTGTGGGATATTGATAAACTAATTGATAAATGAAGATGCGGGTGTTATTTGTACCCAATAGATTCATATAGCTACACATGGATGCCTTGTAAGATCAGACCAATAGATGAACTACAGGGAACATGTCGTCAAAACCTGTCCTTTTACATAAAACATATATGTTTTCTTCTCTCCTTACGTAGCTGGTGTGCCCTTCCTGATCACTGCAGAGCTTTTTAAGCAGTCTCACCGACCGGCTGCCTACACGGTGGCTGGTGTCCTCAACTGGATGTCCAACTTCACCATCGGCTTCGTCTTCCCCTTCCTAGAGGTCAGAAAAAACTTTAAATTCTTCTGTTGGCTTTGTATTTTGAAATATACGACCCTAAAACACGGTGATACACATCTCATGGGTTAACTGTCTTAAATAAAGTGGTGCAGGAATGAGTCCTAAAACCCAGAAATGAGTTGACCTTCTGGCACTTCAGGTTGAATTGCCCGTGTGGAAGTCAATATACTTTTATCATATATATGTTTTTAGTTAGATGTCTGAAATCCCATAATGTGGTTAACAGAAGCTTAAGTTCTACAACAATAATTACATCAGTAAAAATGTTGGTTGTTAACAAGTGACCTAATGGCACGTGGTTACGTAGCCTTTATCTTAGCGGTGGTGATGCGCAGCCTTGGGACAGTCATGTAGTTCCTTTAAAGCCTAACGTTAGATTTGTATTGCTTAACCATAAAGCGGTGTTAATATGTGGAGATTATCCAGCTTAAAAAAACCTGTAAATGTCATAACTGTTTGTTTGCCACAGAGCTTGTTTCTTTTCTATAATCTAAAAGCCAATGTAAAAATCCTATTAGCATGTTGTCGAGGGAGCCCTTGTGATGCTAACATCTTGGTCGGCCTACAAAAACATGTCATCCCTGCATCACTCACCACTAAGGTTCGTTGTAAAATCATCATCTTGTAATGATTTCTAATATGTTGTATAATAAGTCCAGTTGATATTGAAACACTCAAGTTCATCTTGACATTGCACCAAGGATCTGATGTGGCTTCACTCACAGTGCAAGACAATTGATGTGGGCTGTCTGGTTTTGTTTGAATAGAGGCGACTCCCCACAAAGCAATACAATTACTAATTAAAAGCGACCTTGCTGTGGCTTAAGGTCTAGTAAAAGACTTGTCTGGTAAAAAGGCACAAAGTAAGGAGGACGGTGATCTGTCTTGTGGAAAGGGTTTGATCTGTCATCTTTAATTTAATTTAGAGAAACAAAATGAACCGAACAGCTTCAGAGCTTTCCAAAGCCATACTTTCCACTTGGACTTATGCTAGCAGCTAGTCAAATACTTATGTGTGATGTAAGTGATTAATCCGAAGATTAGTATCCGCTAACTTTGCAGTCCCTTAGCTCAACAGGGCGCAACAAAATGCAGTTTAGTGTGTAAAAGGTGGAGAAATGTACATGGTAAAAGAAAAGAATAGAATATATATCCAGTAAGGTTTATGAATACACAAGGCAATACATTGTATGATATATGTAACTTAAGGTATGAGTTAGCCGCTAGCTGGTGAACATAGCGGTGGGTGCATTTAGCAGCTAAAGAGACATATTTCCTGAAGATTCCTGAAGAAAAACCCTGGAAATAGAAGGAGAATGAATATTACATGAACATGATTCCAAATGAACGATCATGTTACTCCGAATCTACTGTATGTGTAAATGAGCAACTTGCCAGAACATTTGTTTTCCTTGATTAGACATTTGTAATCTTGTATTCACTGTGACACTGTGTCCCCCCCCACTACAGATGACTATGGGCCCTTACTGTTACCTGATTTTCTGTTCCATCTGCTTGGGAGTGGCCCTCTACACCATCTTCGTTATTCCTGAGACCAAGAACAAAACTTTTATTGAGATCAGCGAGATGTTTTCCGCCAAGAACAACATCCTGGAAGAAGAGCTGACCTCCAATGGGTATCTCAAAATGGCTGAGATGAACGGCTATGGAACGCTTGGCCTTCACAGCTAAAGATCAAAGGGGCGAGGAGACATACCTACATTTAAAGATGATCTTCTTAGTATGTAATGACTGAAGTTAACGTAGTAGAGGTAAAAGGGGGAACTTCTGTGACCAAGACGAGATCTGCTGCTTCAAGTTTAAAACTACAAAGACCCATGTCCACACACACACACACACACACACACACACACACACACACACACACACACACACACACACACACACACACACACACACACACACACACACACACACATACACACACACACACACACACACAATAATTTATGTTTCAACAGTTAATCTCCTGTCAAAGCGCAGCTCCTGTACATAACGTGAGACAGAAGTCACGCGGTAATGCTTTTCAAATCAAGCATCACTGACATTTTAATCAGTTTCTCCGCATCTTAAAGCATTTTACAGGAGCCGAGTTGGTTTCTCACAGTGCTCTGAGAAGTTTCAATCTCCGCATTAGCTTCACTTTGTTCAAACACATCCCATGATCACTTCATTGTTCACAGTCAGTGTTGAATGCTTTCTTTGTTGCTCAATTGACACTGAAATATGTTCATTTAGTGACACAGCAATAACAGCACACACTAAAGGAAGATATATAATGTATCCAATGTTTCATACAGCTGTTAAATAAGTCACAAGACATCAGAATGATATAATGTTATATTTAACTGCGTGTTCACAGTGTTCAGCTCAAGGTGAACGTTTCCTCCAACAACTTGAGCTGGTGTTTGTTTCTTCTTCTGTTCACTTTGTCAATTTGTTGTCTATTTTACGAGAGCTGGATATTGTGGCCATTTCATTGATATTGTCCAAAGATACGCACATATATTTAAAGCTTGTTAAAGAGCTATAACTTATCAATATATCAAAACAAAGTTTAGTTTTTTCTTTTTGAACTGGCCTGTTTTACAAGAACTCTGTTTAAAATACGGTGGAAATAAAATGAAGGCTGTAATGTAAAAATGTAAAAATGTAATGAATGAACTGAAATGAATGTAATGAATCTATATGCAATAAAGTAATTTACTTCACCAACCACCGCAGTGTAGCGCAGCGGTTCTCTACCAAAACAATTATTTTAGGGCAAATGTTTATTACTTTAGCTTTTTCGGCGACCTTTAACTAGAGATTGTGTCCATATATAGAATGTAATACATAAAGTGAGAATATAAACAGACAGATCTGATCTTCCCACAAAGCCAAAATGATTCCTAATGTTGACCTAATAGAAAGTATCGTTAGAAAACACTGAACCCCTATGAGGTTGCCTAAAAAGCAGTAATAAGACACCCTTTACTCTGTCTTGGACAGATCAGTTGTAACTAAGAGCTTTATTAATAATTATTACATGATTTAAAAGTGATGTGCAAAATCGTGTTGACCTTAAAAACAGCGGTTTAGAAAATAAACGCCCCCATGAAGGTCAATTTAGTGGTATGATCAGGAGCATTTATCATATCGCATGATCATCATCAGCAGACCCAGTGTGCCTAGCTGCCATTGACTCTCCAACGTGAACAATAAGTACTAATTGACATTTCAACATTTACAATTCCATGCAAATTTAGCAAAAGTCATCTGCTGATGAGGATGATAGGATATGAACAGAAGCTCATTGAATTGAATTCAGTTCAAAGCTGATAATGAGAACAACTAGTTACAGAAAATCCATTTGGCTGGGTTTCATCCATTGTACTTGGTAATTATTCAGTCAAGCCACGGTTATTTAAAAAAGAAAACACAAAGCAAGTGCCATTAAATATTAATATAGCACCAATAAGAAAAAGAAACATTTAAACTATAACCAACAAACACACTTCTTTCTTACTAATATGGATCTATAACAGTGTACATTTAACATCATCTTAAAGGTCCCCTATTACACTGTTTTTCATCAATATATTATAGGTCTCAGATATATACAAAACATGTCTCTGTAGTGTTTGGCCTCGAAATACCAAACAGATCGTGCATTGTAGCATCCCATAATCCCCTCTGTTTCAGCCCTGTTTCCAAAGTGCTGATTCTCTGTCTGTTATTTTAGATGAAAATAAGGAGCCACCCCCCTCTGAGAGATATTTGGGGGGGGGGGGGGGGGGTTACCTTGGTTGGTGATTGGCTAATGGTTACACAAGCCAAAGAATCGTTATGACATTATAAATTGGCCAAAATCTGATCAGCTCATTTTCAGACAGGTTTTTATATAAATGGATCAGGACAAAAAGAGAGAGAATCTCTTTACGCATGGGGACACATGTTTATATATAAAATACATGAAAAAGAGGATTTTGCATAATAGGTGACCTTTAACACAGTCTCTGCTTCTTTCCAAGAATTCTGCCCTGCGTTTGAGGTTATGACCATCTCTGATATTTTTGACCTTCACGTCAAACTGTGTATTGATCATGGTGTGAATAATCTCCCAGTGGGTGAAACTGCATCATGAGTGCAGTCCTTTGCCAGCCAGGGTTGTGAATTTGCCATGTGACGTTGTATGGTAAATCTGGGAGTCATACAGTATGTGCAAGGATGGGAAGTGGCGCGCTCTCTCTCTCATCTCAACTCACTGCCTTTAGGCTGGCTGATCCATCTGTCAGAGTCCTGCAAACCCCCAACTGAGGCAGGATGGATACTCGTGTAACATTTCTGCTTGAGAGTGAGAGGAGGGTCTACCAGGCCATCGTTGGAAACATCCCATCTGGATTGTTTTGGTACAGAGGAAGAGTGCACTTTCACTTTCAGACATGGCTCCCTGTCAAAGCAAAGGAAGGAAAAGGAGGTTGGTTGATTGAGAGTCAACCTTTGGAGTTGTTGATTTGCTGCTGAATGACAAATGGACAGCAGAGCCCTGAGAGAGGACAAACAGGGGCCGTGTGGCTGTTCATATGTAACTTCACTGCCAAACAAAGGGCTCCTTGTCACTGCGACTACAGTACATTTCTGTGGATAATGCCAAAGCACATGTGAAAACACACTCACACACGCAGGCAGGCTCACTCCGCCTGGGGCAGGCAGAAGCTATAAATCAAACAAATAGCATCACAGCCTGGCGAAGGAAGCATTCCAACAGATAAAATGCTCTCCCCCACAACAAAGCCACACTCACTGCGTAATTAATTGCAACAAATTACCTCTCCCTCTCCCTGTCGGCCCCCACCTCGCCTCTTTTACGGCACTGACAAGCGCACTACACGCCGTGCGTTCGCGGGGTGTGTGTATGCGCACGCGGTGCACACTCCTGCGCGCATGGTGGCACCGGTGCCCACACACACATACTCGGCCTGCACCCTTCATAAGTGCTTTAATGTGGCTTATTGCAGTGTGCGGTCCCCTTAGCCGTGGAAATATTCGCTTGACGGATGTGCTTTGTCGCCGGCGCTCCCCGGCGGAGGGCGGCTGTCAGGGAGGAGATGATAACATTAACAGGGAGGCAAGGCGATGACAAATGCCTGTTATCAGCGAACGAGGCCGGTGACAAATCGAACGGCAGCGCCCAGGCAGCCCCGGCGCGGCGTAATAAAAAAGAAGATGGATGGCACACCCAGGCAGGGCCCGCGTTAATGCGATTTCCACTGCTCTCCCTGACTCCCAATTAAGGCTGGGAGGGAAGGAGGAGGGTGGGGGTGAGGGAGAGAGAGTGTGTGGATGAGAGTGTTAGAGGGAGCATGATGTGAGGTAGGGGTAGAAATGTGAGGGCAGGAAGGGAATGGGTGCAGTCAGTGGCATTATGAAGAGGATGGATGTCACCGAGGATGAGGCACGAGTGACAGGAACAAAGTGGAGGAAGCCTCAGCAGAAGATGCAGCTTTAATTGTCTGCCGAGCCCATCTGCTCCCCGCCTCCTATCCCCTTTTACTCACATCTCAATCAGGGCCATGTCTCAGAGGTGTTGGGTTTGTAATATGTCATTGCGGCCAGGTAATGAACAACACCTCCCTGTCTTTGCATTGACAGCTCGACGCTCCTTGATTAGCCATCAGGTGTGTCAGCAATGGATCGAAGTATTAAAAAAAGAGTCCTGCATGCTCTTGTGGTTCTCTATTGGCTCAGGATTCAAGAGCTGCTCCCTAAATCAGCTCTTATAAAAACAGAGCTGACAGACAGCCCATGGCTTACAGGCAGACAGAGCTATAGAGATGAGCTACGACTCTGAGCCGGGATGACTGTTCCAACTAATCCTGTCCAAGGACCCAGATGTTATCTCTTTGCTAAAAGGATCAGCGCAGGATATTGAGAAATCGCCGAGGGATGGTGGGGGGCATCTGCGCCCCGAATACCCAAGGGCTGCTGTTTTGTCACTCTGACAGTGTTTTATAAAAAGGCTGAGGAAGCTCCGAAGACTGCAGAAACAAGGGCCCATATATCTCCTGCTATTACACCCAGGCTAGGAAGAGAGGCTTGAAATGACAATGAAATATAGCCCCGGCTCAACGGGAGAAAGAGAACAGGGTCTAAAGAGGGACGGCTGAGTCTCCTCAGGAGCCTGCAGGGGCTGTGCTCCAAATCGGAGACAGATGCACGGCAGTCCCAGACACTAACCCTGCACAATACTGCAAGTACTCAGAGGTGAGGAGGAGAAAATATGTGGCTCATAGAGAGGAGTCCTTGGAGAGAACATTCTCTGTGAGCCTCTGCTGATATTAGTCTGAAAGAACAAGGAGAAATTAGAGCCCCGCAGGAGGAGACGAAGGGAGAGGAAGAGGGTGAAAGTCCAAACTCGGCAAGGAACCCTGCATCATTAAGTTGTCAAGTGGACGGGAGGCCCCGAAATATGACTTGGAGTTATGGCTGGGGCCGGGGCTGATGATATAAGAATTACAGTACATGGATCATGGCCGGATCGATAGGTAGACAAAGTCATTATGGAGGGGCTAGAGTTCAATGCCTCCCTGGGGCTGCAAGCGGGGACAGAGGGCTTACATTTATCACCATGGCAATGTGTAACACACACAACACACAGGTGGGTAGCTGTGTAGTTATATTTGCCCTTATTTCCAAAGCTATCCGTTCCAGCTGTATTGATCGGGCTGCAGAAACAGACCTCTGCATGTGTGTGTGTAGGTTTGGCATTTATTCGCCAATGCTTTTGTGAAGGATGTCCGCACATATGTGTGTTTACAGGTAAGCTAAATGTCTTGGTGCAGGCACATCATTCAGCGGCCAACATTTGTCCTTCCTGGCTCTCTTGTCTTTGCAGAAGAGGGATGGGGAGCAGGAGCAGGGCAGCATCGATCCTCTCTGTGCCGAAAGAAATTAGGCATGAAATGAAAGCTCTCATCAAAGGCCGGGGCCGGCACTGTAACCTGATCCAGCACTATTTATACTCCTGGGAGATGGCGATGATGATGTCTCCATCACGCTGATGATAACAGGACAGAGAGGAGAGAGGGAGAGAGGTGGAGAAAGAGAGTCTCTCCCCTCCATCCGCCATGCCACTGACCTGCCATCATTTATACTGCCAGGGCCCAAGTGCAAGGTTAGCGCCAGCCCGAGCTCCCATAAATCACTGCTCTGCTGGACGGAGAGAGGCCGGGGTCGACGCCTCTCGCAGCCAGCCTCTGCTGATGAGAGAGTATTTATAGATCAGGAGGGAGAGAGGAAGGAAGAGGAAGGATAAGTGGCTTAAAAGAATACTTCACCCACAAAATGACCATTTGTATACCGATTACTCACCATGTTATCCTGAGTTGAAGAAAACGTTGCTTTTCTTGCAGGCCTCCATGGTGAATGAAAAATCCGATTGAAAAAGTCTTGATGAGTTTAAGGGAATAGATCAACAGCTAAACTATCTGTTTTCCAACTCTCAAACAACTCGTGCAGTATAATCCAAGTGTCATTGATTCAGGTGTATTCTTATTACTTCTTAAATTAAACTACTTTGCTAAAACTTCACTATAAAACACTTTTGCCTTCAATGGATTAGAAGTGTTCTTGCATAAGCATTAGATTGTTTAATTAGTGTTTTAAGGTTTTAGTGAACTTTTAAGTGGATGTTTTTGATATAGTTTTGCTGTAGTTAAACATAGCAATCGTTACTTTA